AGAAGCAGAGTGCTGCGGGGCTGGAGGCTGGCCAGGAAGAGGCTGGCAGAGAGGTGAGTCGAATGGGGGCCACAGCTGCTGGGCAGCGAGGGAGGAGCCCGGGGGAAATGCTGAGGCAGAGGGAATGGCCGAGGGCTCAACTAGCAGAGACCTGAAGGCCTGTTTTCTGCCCCTCCTGCTCCTGCCCATCGCTCCACGGCCCAGCCCTGCGCAGAGGGGTCTCTCCCTGCACCTGCCTATGGGGAGCCATGTGGGATATTGAATGGGAGCTTGTTGTTTTCTGATCCTGTGTACACTGTTTATGTGAGTATATAATGTCTGTGTTTGTAGGTAGGAATCTGTAATCTGTGTGGAAGCGACAGTCGCCCATCGCTGGGGTTTGGCCTGTAGGCGCTGGTGGAGCGACAGTCGCCCATCAATAGGGTTTGGCCTGTAGGCGCTGGTGGAGCGACAGTCGCCCATCAATAGGGTTTGGCCTGTAGGCGCTGGTGGAGCGACAGTCGCCCATCAATAGGGTTTGGCCTGTAGGCGCTGGTGGAGCGACAGTCGCCCATCAATAGGGTTTGGCCTGTAGGCGCTGGTGGAGCGACAGTCGCCCATCAATAGGGTTTGGCCTGTAGGCGCTGGTGGAGCGACAGTCGCCCATCAATAGGGTTTGGCCTGTAGGCGCTGGTGGAGCGACAGTCGCCCATCAATAGGGTTTGGCCTGTAGGCGCTGGTGGAGCGACAGTCGCCCATCAATAGGGTTTGGCCTGTAGGCGCTGGTGGAGCGACAGTCGCCCATCAATAGGGTTTGGCCTGTAGGCGCTGGTGGAGCGACAGTCGCCCATCAATAGGGTTTGGCCTGTAGGCGCTGGTGGAGCGACAGTCGCCCATCAATAGGGTTTGGCCTGTAGGCGCTGGTGGAGCGACAGTCGCCCATCAATAGGGTTTGGCCTGTAGGCGCTGGTGGAGCGACAGTCGCCCATCAATAGGGTTTGGCCTGTAGGCGCTGGTGGAGCGACAGTCGCCCATCAATAGGGTTTGGCCTGTAGGCGCTGGTGGAGCGACAGTCGCCCATCAATAGGGTTTGGCCTGTAGGCGCTGGTGGAGCGACAGTCGCCCATCAATAGGGTTTGGCCTGTAGGCGCTGGTGGAGCGACAGTCGCCCATCAATAGGGTTTGGCCTGTAGGCGCTGGTGGAGCGACAGTCGCCCATCAATAGGGTTTGGCCTGTAGGCGCTGGTGGAGCGACAGTCGCCCATCAATAGGGTTTGGCCTGTAGGCGCTGGTGGAGCGACAGTCGCCCATCAATAGGGTTTGGCCTGTAGGCGCTGGTGGAGCGACAGTCGCCCATCAATAGGGTTTGGCCTGTAGGCGCTGGTGGAGCGACAGTCGCCCATCAATAGGGTTTGGCCTGTAGGCGCTGGTGGAGCGACAGTCGCCCATCAATAG